AATTAGGAATGCCAAACCATTTTTCAAAGAATTTGACGTGGAAGGATATTACTTTATTGAAATTTGCAGAACATTTCCGAAGCTTAATATGGAAGATTTTGAGGGAAAAGTGTAAAGAGGCAATAAATGATGGTCCTTGTATACGGCACTTATTGATAGATTCAGATTTTGTCAAAGTTATGACTATTCTGGAAAGTGTATCGTGGAAGAGTTTTATTTTTATAGTCGAAAATTCCCTAGGTAACCATTAAATACCAAATTGTGAAGAAATTATGCAAAATAAGCTGCGAAACTGCCAAACCCTAGGAGGATCTGAATAAATTTTCGCAAAATTTTCAAAATTATAGTAAGAGACAGAGAGACCGGTTTAGGCAGGTTTCAAGGTTGTTGAGATCGTCAATGATGGCAGACTACTGCTGGCCTCTAAAAAGATATTGCTGCCTGTAAAATTATAAAAGAAAAGCTCATAAAAGGCGTTTTATTGAAATATAAGACATTTTTTTCGAAATTCTTCTCTCTGTTTACCTGAAATGTATTCTTATTTTTTGAAGACAAAGGGGCATAATAAACAAATATGTTATTTGGTTTCAAGTTGTCTGATTTTTGTAGCGCAAAATTGAAATAAAGTTTACAAATAATCGAGAGCATATCTTAACAGTCCATAGACAGTTTCATGAACTGTGGGCCCAAATACATATGTATATCCAAAATCTTATAAGGTATCTATATCTTATAAGGTATCTAGGGCACCGAAAGCACTTTAGGCCAGCGTAAAAAATTCCCAGTAACCAGCACCAATCACCATTTAAAACTCGTTTCGACAAAATTTTGTGTTTGTTAAGTTTATTATATCATTTACTCATTTATATAATAAGTATGTTTATGTATGTGTGTTCTGTTTCCTCTTTTGCAGCTACTCGCTTTTAGTTAATGCATAAATTTTTTACTTAAAATGCACTTTTTTGTAATCTTCATGCATTGCATCCGTGTATGGGTGTGTGTGTGTGTGTGTACATAGATTTTCATGCATTTATGCAGTGTCAAGCATGTAAACACAAGTAAATATTATTAAATAAGGACGCATACAGGGTGTTCACTTTTCAATTAACTCATGAATGCGTCTATTTGATTTACATATTTCTTACATTATTTCTGTATGTAGCTCCGGGTTGCTTAAATATATTTATAGTATATATAGGTATATATATATAATAATAATTTTCTATTCTTATTAAATACATCCGTTCATATGTAGTCTGCGGCTGTACGCAAAGATTTTACTGTATTATTATTTCTTATGTATATACATATGTATGCGTACATATGAATGTATGTGTTTTTGTTTTTTACATGCATACTTAAACCATGTAAATATTTTACTATAATTTACATCTAACAGAGTATTTGAGAGAAAGACAACTATGAGTGCTCTATATATCGTTATTTGTATTGTTTTTTTTTTTAATTTCTTTCTTTTACGAAATATTTCTTTATTGAAGTGTTTCTTTATCAATTTTTTTGCGGCTTTCAGCTTCGTATTGTTGGTTGCTTTCGGTTATTAAAAAAAAAAATTCAACTTCTAATGCAATTTGTGACACCTAATCTTAAGAATTTTTCCAAGAATCGCATTTGAACTTTCTAAACGAGGCATTAAATCGTAAATAACCTTTAACCTTTGCCAGCGAAGATTGAAATAGCAGTACTTAAAGAGCTAAGCTTTGAATCGCAAAGACTATCGTATGCAAAACATTCATCATTGAAGTAGCAATATTTTCAAAACTGAACTTGAAATTGTAACGAACTTCTAGTCTAAAGCAGTCATCTCTGAAAACAGTATTTGCAGAATTAAGCTCTGAACCGTATTGAGCTTCTAACATTTCATTGAAATTTCAAATTTTTTAAAGTCACAAACATATTTATATACAGAATTTGTTTAATCATTACATGACTTTCTATATATGTACATACAAATACGTATCGTCACCTGAAATGCAAAACAACACCAAGATCATCAAAAAAATCGAAATTTGTTTTTGTATTGCCTACGATTCACTAAATCCTAATTTATGTACATATGGATATGTAATATCGTAAAATTTCAAGCTGAGATAACCGATGTATAGGTTATCTCTGAGAGCGGAAAACCAAAATAATGTTTCATTATGAGTGTTTTTCTTTCGCCTGTAAGCTTATGAGAAGTGAGTTTACGTTACTTTGCATTCTAAGTGACCACTATGTATGTTGACAGTCGTATACATATCTACGGGGAATGAAGCTTTTGGCATTAAGGGTTTGCCAAATTACTCTCAACGCAGTACATAACTAAACGGTGTGTGGAACAGTATACCGAAATTTTTCTAATATATTCCTTTAATTAACATACAATGGTTTCCCATACTCCAAGTTTTTACTCCAATCTCAAGTATAATGGTTTACATTTTAGTATGTGCGGCAAATGATGTGTTCCAGACAGGCCAGCGTATCTAATGCGTGAGTAAAGCTCTCATAAAAGCTAGAGTGTCTGTCATAAAACATGAAAGAAACCAGCTGGGATATTTTTTTTGATTGCTCATAAATCAGTTCGGGCATCAAATTTAATACTAATGAACAATTAAAAAAATATCACAACAATAAAAAACGTTAATTCCAGCCTCACCGAAGCTATAATATCCTTTACGGCATAAACGAGTATAAAAATAACTTTATCTTGAGTTTGATCGTTTGGTTTGCATGGCTGCATGCTTTGGTGAACCGATCTGAGCAATTCGTTGGCAGATTGCAGCGATGCTTTCGAGAAGATACGGTAACGAATACAAAGGCTTGAGTTGATCGTTCAGTTTGTATAGCAGCTGCATCCTATGCTTGTCCGATATCGACGATTCCGACAAATGCGCTACTTCGAACACACAGACGGACTTGGCTATATCGACTTAGCTCGTCACGCTGACCATTTATATGTAAGTATGTACTTTACAGCGCATCCGAAATTCCCCTTTGGGTGATAAAAACCTCGTGCAAACTTAAAAAAGCTGAACCCCCTTTGTTTATGTACTTATGGCTTAAACTAAACTATTATGAAAGTTTATAAGGAAAGGTTCAGAGGCTGCAATTCATATTCACAAGAATTCACGAAGTAACATCAATATTATGAATATGTTGGAAGGAAAAACTCCCCAGAAAAATATGATGGTGCCGCTACTGGTAGCGTCTCTGATCTAAATATTGTGTCTCATCGGAAATTTGTTAAAGCAACTGAAGTTCACTTAAGCGAATGCTGTCATTCTAAGCATCGGTGCACTTGCGCACATTAACTTATGTTATAGATACAGATATTTGTATGGAGCGTTTAGAGAAATTCTAATTTGCGTTAGCTTATATGCTTCTGATTACACGTACATATGTATGTTTGTATGTAATAATTATGGACCTTAAACATTTTTGAGCGGCATTTATTTACAAGTACATACACTTACATATGTGTTTTAGCCTACGTGTGACTGCATGTGGTATATACGAGTACGTGTTTATATGTACGTATGTTTGTATGTATATATGTATATGTTTCTAGTTTTATAATTTGTGTTGACTTGCTGGCAAAATAATTACGCGTGCGGCTTCAAATGAGTGTGTACTATGTATTTACAGGACATAAATATATATGTTATATGTATGAGCCAAAGCACAGTTATTACTAGCCGAGTTTATACACTCTTACGTATGTATGTATGTATGTATATGTAATTCATTCGCTTTCCTTTGGCTTCACCTGCTTTACTTTATTTGCATTGTGTTGAATTATTTATGATTTCTTCACTAATTTAACGAAATTGCCAATTTTATTCATATTTTTTATTTTAGTTATATTTTTTCGCATTTGATTTTATGAATTTTTTATTATTTATATTTAAACTGGTCAAACAATGCGTTGAGCACGTTTTTTAAATGAGTTACGACTATCAAACTAATATACATACATATTCCAGCGTTTTACCAGCATACATATCTAACAAGTACACATGTGCATATGTATGCATGTATGTACGCTTGTTTTGAGTTAGTTCTCATTTATTTAACATATATAGCATTTATTGTACTGCTGACGGTTCGGTATCTGTTACGGTTTTGCACACTCACAGCTATTAAAACTACACTTTAAGCTTCACTTTAAGCTTATTACTCCACACACATGCTTGTGGTTTCACAGTTGAAGAATACTGTATTCCCCACCTAATCTGTAACATAGTATATGTATATCTATTATGTACTTATCTATGTATGCGTGTGCTTAACTACTTTAAAATCGGTTGCGTATTAAATATGCATGTATGTATGTATGTATGTGTATTTGAAAAAATATTAAGTGCCGAGGCATATTTATTTGACTGGGTTTTTCTGAAAGAATTCTGTATTTACGTTGGTTGAACATTGACTTGCAACAGTTTATAGGTGGAGAAGACTAATGATTTCAGATAATGGAAAGTTATTGTGCAGGTTTTGAATTTCCCAAATTTTGTTTCTGTGTTACAGTATTACGCTTATTTTGTATGAGCAAGTATGTATCTGTAGTAACTTGTTTTATCAAGACAGTCATAAAACTGTTATCAATATGCTAAAATGCTAGTTGAGAATATTTTCGCTGGGTTAAGCTTAAATCTCTTTAAAAATTATCTAAGGATATGTCCCCAAAGTTAGAGATGGGAATTCGAAATATTGTCGAAACTAAAAGGGAAATAGTGACCTAGCGTCTAGCAAATATATGAGCGCTTGGGCAGAAAGCGAAAATTTTGACGCGCGATTTCTCGGTTTTTAATTTTTACGATTTACCTTAAATCGCGGGCAGGATAGAAAAAAAAACTAAACGTAGTATGAAATTGGGGCAAACTTTATTATCTTTGGCATTAAATTATCTTCTTTTTTAAAAAAAAAAAAAAAAAAAAAAAAAAAAAAAAAAAAAAAAAAAAAAAAAAAAACTAAGAAAAACTAAGAAAAACCAAGTCTGAGCATATTTTTAACCATGGTTCTATCAATTTTTAAATAAGTGTGGGATGTTACACTTTTTTTTGGAATTTTCTTAGTTTATTATAAGTTATTAACAAATATGGAGCTCTTTGAATTTTTCGTTTCCGTTAGAAATTGCGACCTGCATCCTGACCGCCGTCTGATAAATGCATATGCAGGATGCATCGAGCAATTGCAGAATATCAAAGATCTCGTATCCAAAAAATTTTCGGATGATTTCTAAATATATAGCTATAAACTATAGAAATTTCGCTTTAATCAGTTATTTCTTTCCCTGCCAAAAGATTGCTATTTTGTAGACTTTGAAGCCAGCTCTCTACTTAAGTCTTTCAAAAATAAATTTATGTGTTGAAAAAGCACGAAAACTGTTTTGTAACCGCAACTGCGTAGCAATTTCGCGCCTCCGTTCTGCGTAATTATATAATTGAGTATTATATTTTACAAATAATTTCTTACAGTCTGCTAAATATTCATACAACTATTTTTTACACAAACATATTTTACATATTTTGAATATAATTTGGTGTTTTCTTTGCGAAACTCTTAATATTCAAATAAAAATATCAAATTTATACAAAGAAAATCTTACTTGTTGAGCAGTGAAAAGGCTTTAAATTAAGTTAAACAAACTTTTCTTATTTTTCTTACAAAGCACATTATTGTATGAAAATTAAGCGCCTTTGAAGTGTTTGTGGTAATTTTTTAGCTTAAATTAAAGGCGAAGCGCGAAAACAAAAGTTTTTAAAAAATAGCAAAAACACGCAGTTATCCAAAAGAATGCCCTTCATCTAAATATTACCGTAATATTACATAAAATTTGTCTACTAATTGAAATCCTTTGCTAACAAATCCACACACTACTACTTTAATTGCGTCTCACTTCAATTTTATCAAATTATTTTAAAAGTAAGTATGTAAGAGTAAGTTTTTTTATAAATTCAACATTTGATTGTGTGTGTGTGTGTGTGTTTCTGTGATCTTTCCCTGTTTGGAACTGCGTTGCTAATACGTACATACAGGTTTTATGCTTATATTACAGTTATAGGTGAGCATGCTATTGCAGTTTTATAATCGAAAGCTGATTTATAAGTTTTGCAAACTTGCGCTTTCATTAGTAAGTGGAATTATGAATTTCATTTGGTTCAAACTCTTTTGTACGCGTTTAGCATATAAACATGCATATATGTATTTGCTTATATCTGTATTGTGTGTGGTATGATTACACGTACATACATATGTATGCATGTATGCGTAAGTGGTTTTGCATTACTTGAACATAATTTAGCAGGTTTTATATTTTCAGTACAAAATCTGTGCCCACAACAGAAATACATTTCTAGCCGAAAATAGTTTTCGTCTATTTTTCCTTCACTTTTCATTGTTTTACTGTAACTTATTGTTGTTATCTTACTCGTTGAGCTTGTGCCATTCGGCAATTTGTCTTCGTGGTGAATTACACACTTCATTCCAATGGTTCAGCGCTGTGCCACCAGAGTTTGGACCGCCTAGTTCCAAACGACCAATTACCTAGCAAAGGTGAATGAAACGTTTATTTTTCAGTTTTTCCTTGTGATTTCAATTTTGGTCTGCAAACTTACCTCATTCTTGGTAACCCGATCCCAGTCCAAAAGCATCAACTCCAGTGAAACACCGTCGAGTGTGGCGCCGATACCCTGAAAATGGCAACACATTCAACATAAAGGTATTTCTTACGAAAAAATATCCAAAGCACCGCACGTATAATTACATCTGTGCGTAAATATTCATTATAATAAACGTATGTTTTCGTAAATTCGCTTCTAAGGAAAATTGTTTGATCGTAATAACGAACAAGGAAACAAAGCACAGATTTGAACAAGAAAAATCGTTAACTTTGGTTGCAACGTAGCAATAATACCCTCTACGTATACAAAATATGTATTCCATACGTACTATAGTCACCTGATCTGAACAATTTCTTCGGAGATTGCGTTAGGCAATAGAACTGCCTTTGGCCATAGAACTTGCCTTAGGCAATAGAACTACTCAACAGATCCGAACAAAAAATTTGCGACTCATTTGCTAAGTGTTGTGTGGGGTATTTGAGGTCTCCTGTTTTCAGCTCTAAATTTTTCATCTTGTAAGTTATTTTTATAATTTTCGAAAATGGTGGTGGTTTGTTGCCCTCACCCCGACACTACAGAACAAAATAATTTCTGTGTTAGGAAATTTGTGCTATCATTTCTATTTTAACAGCCCGAAATTAGAAGAAACCTCTAACATAACAATATACTATATATACATATATAACGGGTGATCCAAGTAGGGGTACTTTTTCAATAGCTTCTTCTGACAGATCACGCATGAGTCGTGTCAAGTTATCATGTTATTTTTGTTCAGTATTGCTTTACATTTCATCTTGGAAAGACTTACGCCTGAACAACGTTTACAAATCGCAATCGTATTATTCGCAACACCGTCACCCATCTTGAGACTCAGCATTCATTATCGATTAATATTCGACCGAATAAACCACGTCCAGCACGGAGTGAAGAAAAGTTAGTAGCCGTAGCTGAGGGTGTACACGAAGATGGTGGAGAGTCGATTCGTCGTCGTTCGCTTCAAGTCGGACTGACGTATGGAACGACTTGGTGCATTTCACGTCGAAGCCACTCCACCTTCTCAAGCTGTGCTTCGGTCCTTGAACTCTTGAAAAGTTCAAAGAAGAATCGAAATTTGCGAACCAAATTTTGTTTAGCTGCGAGGACCATTCCTAGCTCAATCGGTCGTTCCTTTACATGTTATTTGATACCTGACATTATCGTTGCAACAAGACGGTGCCACTTCCCACACATCGCATCAATCAATGGATTTTTTGAGAGGACACTTCAATGACAAGGCAATTTCACGTTTTGGGCCGGTCGATAAGGTACCAGGATCATGTACTATTACACCGTTAGTATTTATCCTATGTAAAGTTTAAAATCTATGCAGACAATCCCGCTTCGATTGAGACCTTGGAGCGAAACAACACACATGTCATTTCAAGTTACCAGTCGAAATGCTGAAACAAGTCATCGAAAATTGGACTCAATGGACGGACCATCTGAGACGTTGCCGGAATCACCATTTGAAAGAGAAAATCTTCAAAAGAAAGAATGTTCTTTCGAATGATAATAAACATTTCCCAAAAAATATGAAATAAAAAAATTTTATTTTAAGTAGAGAACCTCGAAATGGATCACCCTTTGCATATTGTCAAATAAAAAAGTTTTTCCATGTAAGGCCGGAATTTTGACCGTCCAGTTTGTGTGGCAGCTAAATGCTATAGTGGCTCGATTTCGATAGTTCTGACAAATGAGCCACTTCTTGGGGAGAATACTGAGCCATTTTCCATAAAAAATCATTACTTTCTAATTATTGTATCAACCAATACAGAAATTAAATAAAACACAAAACCATGCCGCTGAAATCAAAGTGCCAGTACAAAGTATATCTTTAAACTTAACACACTTTGGAAATTTTCTGCATAATAAATTCATTTGTCACTCACCTCTGCAGCAGGTATGTCGAACGCGAAACTTTCATTAAATACTGGACTAAGTGTGCGCTTCTTGACGTGAGTCTTCTTCTTCGCAATGCGTTGTCCATTATACAACAAATAGATCTTAACGTATGGATCGGCTAAACCGGTCACGTCCATGCGGGGCAAATTGCGGGCCTTCAATAGGACAACAGTCAAACGACCAGCAGCCGGTTGCCAGCACAGTGAAATCAACAACTCGCCACGTCCTTGAGCACGAATCTTTAAACTACGTGGCTGTATTTCCTTGCTAATAGAAAGTGCCTCCTTGGAGATGTCACCGATTTCAATGGATGATAATGGGCAGACTACCTCGCCAATGACATCATCACGCGAATAACGATCGAAGCTGAGTATAACAAAGTGCAGCGACATATTCTGTAGATCGCTGATGTTCAAGCCGTAAAATGTGAAATCCTCATCGTATACTGGATTGCGTGTATTGCGTACAACGCGAGTCTTCACCTTATGCTGTTTGTCGGGCAAAAGTTGAAGCTTTACATACGGATCGGTGGCAGTTTGAGTACGTCCATTCAAGCTAGTCGGTAAGTCATTAGAACCATTGGAACCGTTTTTGTTGCCATTGCTGTTACCACCACCATCACCACTAGCGCCATTGCCGGTACCGGAACCGCCACCACCACTCTTACAGGGTAAACCGCGACAACGTATAATCGACACCATTAGTGCATTGCGTTCGGCCAAATAGCGTAGCTTAAAGTAAATCGTGCCCAATTTTCCATACTGATCGATAGTCAATTCCTTGGCTGTGTCTTCCATGGCACTCAAATGATGGTGATGATAGTGATTGTGGCCATTATTGTTGCCATTACCGCCTGTGGTCTGACCAACGACGGTGGCGTGTGTCTCAATGGTAGGGGAATGCTTCTGTTCGCCGTTCATTAGCTGGCGACTGTGTCGGGTTGGTTGTATCTCATCTTCCTCCACATATTTCATAGTCGGCGGTGCAATCGGGGAGGTGTTCTGATCTTGCATTGGCTGCAAAATGCCCAATTGTTTGGTGCCAGTCGGCGATGGAGATTTTTTCAGATAGTGTGGTGGTTGGCCGCTTGGCGAGCGCACAGCAGTTGGGCGCCTTGTTGGCTGAAAGGGAAATGATGCGTCATGCTGATTCTGCTTACGGTTGCGTGCACGTATTCGCTTAGCACAAATGTATACCACAGCTGAGAGTGCTGCAGCGGCAGCAAAACCCAAAATCGCTGGAATTACTGTGAAGAACAATTTACATTTATAATTCGATTTTATTTGGGTTTCATTTATGACATCTTAATGATTATCATTAAATATTTGTGGTAATCAGTATATAATTTAAAGAAATATGGTAATAAGCAGCAGCCAGTACCTGCCAAATTATTTGTTTAATGAAATATTCCTTAGATCTGGGTTCTTCATCAAAAAATCAAAATAAAGTAGTGTCATAATTAAAAAAAAATACATTTATTCATTGTTTTATTCAATGATTATGTATAATAATAAACACTAAGCGTTATTCAATGTGCCCTCCAAAAACTTATACTAGGGGCAACCAGAAACGATATTACTCAATGTTGTTGTGTCTTTCTTCTAAATAAAATTCATAAAATATATATGTTGACCCGATTTTTCGCACTGATGTGATGAGTGACAGTCGTTGTTAAAACAACAAATTTGGTTGATATTTAGTTTTGGAGCAATTTCTGATTCCAGGATTCGGTCCCGGTACAAAAACTCGCCAGTCTAGTTATTTTCCTTCATAATTTGGAAGCCATTGTCAGCGTAGTCTTGTCAATAAAGCGTCAATAAATTTGACATGACATGCACTGATATAAGTAAAACACGCTCTCCCAGATAACTCACATGTTGGCCGATATATGCGGTATTAAGTGACTTGGGAGCGCGAATATATTTATTAGGGTGCTTCAAAAAAATTTTTGAAAAAATTTTTTTTTAACTCTTGCCCCCTCAATTGTTAGTGATTGACAAAACAAAATTCTCCCTCAAGCCAGGCGCAGTAGCTTAACTCTAAGGTGTCGCCCGAGTGCAATAAACAAAGTAAAGCCCTGACCTGACTAACTGGCATAAATGATGGAAGGGATTAGAAGCTACTCCTAACATCCAATTACATGCTACACCAATGGTGAAGCGATATCAATAGAAGTCCGCAGGTTGGTGAATGTGAAAAAACTAAAAGACCACTGGAACAGATTGTGAAAGGAGAACCGAAGTAGCTAGGCTTAAGAAATTACTAATTAAGCAAAAGACTACCCCAAAGCAACTACGCAAAAATGTGGAGAGTGGACAGAATACAAATAAGAAACTACTGGCAGAAATGGTCAGGTCCCAAGGTGGTGTACTAACTTTATAAGACTCCAGCTTGAAGGAGCTGCGTAGAGTGTATTCCCCACTAATACTTTGGGCAATCAAAGACTTCGAGCCATATAAATTTCCTGGTATTGAATGCATTTTTCCGGACAGTGTGTATCAACAGCGCTGGTATTTTTCCTGATCCCAATTACGAATAACGTGTAAGCCTAACCTAAAAGCCTCGTCTCTTTCCATAGGATAGGTACTTAAACGTTGTTCGTAATTGGGATCAGGAAAAATACCAGCGCTGTTCATATTGGCATGGTATTCATACCGAAGTCGACCCCATTTACTCGAAAGAATATAACTAACCACACTCTAACCTAACGCTTAAAGTTCGCCAAAAATCTTGACAAAGGAATTCGTTTTTGCATCGGATTGTGATTGGTCAAGAATAATTACGTTCTCACTGCTATACACTTCACTTTTGATCAGGATATCAAAAATTGGCTTGCTTAATTCTTGACCACCAAACCGGCTCATTTGTTTCGGGATGGATTATGTAAATTGCCTGAGAGATGAAGTGTCTTACGAAAATTTCTCCATATCCGCAATATTTTCAGCATTAACAGTCCCGTTATTTTCTGAACACACCTCTTAGATCCAATAATGCTGTTAATACATGCGTCTCGTTCCGTATTGTAAACTTAATTTTAATAAAAAATGGTACCTTTGTCACCCGTTTTACCTCTAAAAGAAATATCGATATGGTTGGGAGCACTTAAACAGGTTAATTAGTCTTCATATTCGCGTTTTCAATTTTCTATCGAAAAATCCTATTTTAATTAATAAAGTTGTAAAATAATTTTATATTGCGGAAATATTTACTTTTCCGGTCAATTTGGAAGAGTTCCGATGAATGGTAGTTATTACTCCTTGCAGATAAAGGATCTCTTTTGGGGAATATTTATTAAAGAAATCTAAAAGCATAATTATTTTTGTAGTCAAAAGCTACTTTTAATTCTAAAGAATGTTATCCTTCTTTTCTAAGGTCTAATTTAGCTAGCCAATCGCGGAACTCTTTGGCTCAGTGGAGCTTCTAAAGTGAGTCGCGTTTGCGACATTTCCGCCATATGATGTGGTGAGCCTTTGTTTTCTTTAAATACTTCAACGCAAAGCCTTTTTCGGCTATCCGGCTGTTACTAACTTCGGAGATATGAGTATATTTTAGGGTAACCGGCTACCAAAATTTAAAACATGTTTTTCTCGAAACGCTATTCATTCGTAAATATATTTTATAAGACCTCCGATGTTTCCTCCTGGGGAACACCAAACATTGTGCCAAACTTACATAATATACCCTGTTCAGGGGATAAAGAAATATTTTTTTTTTGTTTTGTGCCAGTGGATATAAACTCTCAGAGGTTCGTCGTCTTCTAACTACTAACGAAGATTTTCAAGTTCCCTGAATATATGCCTGGGAAGATGTCAAAGTGAACATTTAAATATGTCTTCCAGAAATATTTGTGTGAAAGCTGGTATAAAGTCCGGTCTAGCTCACAATCAAGCGATTTATTTCATCAGATGTTAATGAAAATTGTAGAAGATTTCCAAATATCTTTCGTATTCTCTTATCCCTTCTGAACAGGTTATCGTCGTTAGACCCACTTTTAGGCTTTAACTTCAGAAATAGTATAGACATGTTGGAAGATCGGTATAACTAGTTTCGCTGAAAATTTGTTTTTCTTTAAACTTATTTGCACTTCACAATTTGTTTTGCGCACACATACTTATGAAAAAATGTGTGTATATATTAGTGTGGGTCAAAAAACGAAAACTTTTTCGCTTGGCACTCTGAATAATAGGTTCTCAGACTCAGCTAAAATAGGTTCTTCGACACCTCTAAAATAGTCACAAATATGACCTCTTAACTGAAACGGGAAGGTTCGCCGCCTTATAATTTTCTATTTTTTGTTATTATCATCAATCTCGCTTTGGAAAACTTTGCTTTGAAGAGACTTTTTAGAGGTGTAATAGATCCTGATTTTTTCAGAGTACCAAACGAAACAAAAATTTCGTTTTTTTAACCACTCAGAGTACGAACTTTTTTGGTATTGGGATAAGAGAATACAAAATATTTGCTCTTTAAAAGCATTAGATTGCCTTTAGCTGAAAATATTCACAAAAACTTAATTAATGGCAACTATATGCTATAGTGGTTCGATAAGAACAGGTTCTTGAGGATTGTACCGTTCTCTTGTACAATTATCCGTGCCAACTGTCGTGAAGATATCTGGTCAAATAGAAATGTTTTTTTATACGAGAACTTGATTCTGATCGTTCAGTTTTTATGCAAGCTATATGCTATGGCCATATGCTATGAAACGGACATACGCACAACAATGAGACGTATGGCCAGACGGGCATGACTAAATCGACTCAGCTTGTCTGGCTGATCATTTATAAATACATTTTATGGGGCACCAACGATTACTTCTGGGTTACACAAACTTCGTGACTAACTTAATATGCCCTGCTCAGGGTATGAAAAGATAAAGCCACGCCACAACTGCCCGTCTGTTGCACATCTCAGGCTAAGTTCACGTAATGTCTAGAAATATTCTACTTTTTTTGCCTTTAACCTGTACTATATTGCACTTACTTGTCTCCATGGAGCTGACATCTGGGCTGTACTCGTCGCCCATCTTGATTGCAACAAATCTGTTAATGCGTCGCTTTTTAGTTGTATTTGTTGTTGTTGTGCTGAGTGTTCACCACCAGCTTGTTGACGTTGTTGAATAACGCGTATTGGCAGTTTTTACCGAAATCTATTAAAAATCTCAAGCGCATCTACATCTACGCATTAAATGTTTAGGCAATTTCTTTTGCTAATCACAAAAAACTGTTTTATTGTTTTATCTGAGCTTGATTGTGTTAATACGCATTGCGTTTGAAAACTTCGACAAACTTAATCGATTTTTCCAAAATGGCTCACACGAATAAACAAGCAGCTGTAATTACTATTCGCTGAATCGAAGAGAATTGTCTTCGCGATTGACGAAGTCGTCGTCCTCGTCGTCGTCCTCGTAGTCGTCGATGTCGTATTTATCTGCGGTGTGTTGTTGAGCTGCTGTTCCCAGACGAGTTCCATACGCTCTAGCGTGTTCTTTCGAAATCTATGCTTTGTACTTGGTGGTGGTAAGGATGTTTGTTATTGGTTTTATTGTTATTGGTGAGGGTGGGTTTTGCCGCGGACACTTGCGGTTACGCGATGCCTGCAGGTAGCAAGGATTGTATGAATCACACTTTTTACTATAGGCCGCTTTCGTCGCTTACACCTCGCCAAACCTTTCAATGACTCTGTGAATAAGCCAAGTTGGTGATTTTTTTCGAAAAAAATGCTTTCAAATTTTACCCTATTACTCTTTTATTATTAAAAATACTTTTACTTTTTGTTTTGAATTTTATAATATTATGTGTGTTGTACTCTCCAATTGTGTTGGTGTTTCGTATTTCACTGTATAATTATTATTTTTGCGTATTACGCGTAGGTGTTCGGCTTGCGCAGGTAATACTTGTTAAAACTTTTAATTTTGTGTATTTCCGCACTGCCACAATGTAGTTAGCACTTCAAAAACTGCAGTTTACACTTTTCCTAAATTCCTAGTATACTTTCAGGCTTTTCGAAAAATTGCGTATAGCAGAATTTTTAACAATTTGCAAATGTGTTGGCACAGCGCGCGTTAGCGTCGATATTCCGATTGTAGTGGTCTTCGTCTGCTGCGAGTTCACGAGTATTTACTGTTAGAACTGGCCGTTGACTTCGTCTTGATGCGTAGCATTCAACGAGTTTGAGTCCATAAAATCATTAAACTGGCACATGCGCGGTGCAGCGCTTATTAGTTGGCTGGTGAAGAAAGCTAATTCCATACGCTTTCGGCAGTTTACAGCAACGAACAAAACAAATAGTAGCGAGTTGTATATTTTGTTTACCTGACAATCGTTGGTTTACGTTTTGGCAGCGAGTGGCAAATATTTTGTGTAGTGGAGACGGCATATCTCTACACAAACAAATAAAGGCCTAACGAATGTTCACATCACAGCATAAAACAGTTAGTTTAACATAAAGTAGACAAATTAAATTGAAGCGTCAATTTCTATTCTCCACACATTCAACAAAAGCTCAAATGCACTGAATATCTATATTAAAGTTGATTTACTATTTCAAATATAAGGTTATCAACAATTTTGAGGATTGTATTCTCAAATCGAAACAAGTGAAAGGTTATAAGAAAACATTTTCTCTCTTAGAACAGCCAGTCGTGGCATAAAAGGCTTAGAGTAGACAAAAAATGCTATTAGTTCAATTTGCCGTTGTGAAAAAATATTTATTTTCATTTTAATTTGGAAAAAAATACGTTAAAAAATACAAACATAGAAACCATACAAATACTTTTCATTACATTTAATTTACATTACATTTCATAAAATCTCAAGCACACGTTCCACGACTTTTAACTATTTTCCGATACTTCGTGAATTGATGAATCGAATTTTGGTTGGTCTGCGTCGGGGCCGATTTAACCCGAAGTCACACTTTCTTGTGAAAGTAGCTAAATTTAGTTATATTTAGTTATATCCTTTGAGACGCCAAATTATTCCAGATGAACTCATATATATATCGCTTAGTTTAAGGTGATACTTGTAACCGTTCGATGAAGAAAAATATTATACCCTGCAGCAACATGTTGCAAGAGTAGATGGGAGTGCGACAAAGTTTTATTATCTCAATTAGACGATTAAACATAGTGATTAGAAACTTGGAATTTTTTCAATAAAAATAAAAAAAACTTAGAAAAACACTTATTAATAATCAAACTTTGTCGCGAGAATTTTTAAAGCTTGAAAAACTAACTTTCTGAATGTATGATGGTTATTTTTGTGAACCGAAAATTAATTGGCGATTGTTTGTAAATAAAAATTATGAACTTTTTGTTAACCTTTTCCCCGTTTAACTCATTACGTGGTGAATTTTTCTTACCGAAGTTATATTTTTCGGTATTCCCTTATGGCAAAACTACAAACTATTACTCAAAACGAGTTGATCTAACATATGCGTCTTCTTTATTCATTAACATTATCGTGGTGGTTGGCAATAGCTGACCTTGTGTCAGTTCAATGCGGCTTTGCGTTGCAACTGAGTGCCAGACCCAAAGTATGACAGGGGTTTTAGATGGGTATACAACCCTCTCAAGGTGATTAGTGCATCCATCCCACACTGCTTGTCGGTACAGAAAAATGCTGGCATTCTTGAGGCGCTGATCAAGGCATTGAATTAGTCCATCCGTTGAGTTCAATTTCAATGATTGTGGGCATAGAGTTTAGACTTTATTTATCCCAACAGGAAAAAGTCTGACGGTATCATAAACACACGATCTTCGTGGTCAATCGACCAGCCCGAAATTATCTGCTGAAGTGTTCTCTCCATTGTTGAAACGAGCTTCAATTTCAGGCATCAAATAGTCGGTTGGTCGTTTTCTCACCAGCATCATTTTTGAAGAAATATGAGCCGATGCTTCCACCAGCCCGCAAATCACACCAAACCTTTGTCTTTTCTGGATGAAATGGCAGCTCTTGAATCTCTTCAGGTTGCTCTTTGTCGCAAATTCGGTAATTTCACTTGTTTACATACCCATTTAGCCAGAAATGAGCCTCATCGTTGAACAAAACCGAACCGATTTCGCATTCTTAGCTTCGGCAGTAGTTGCAGAAAATTTCTACGCATAGGAGAGGGCGTGGGATTCGAAAACCTATAGCGATAGCCGCCAAAGCTACGGAATTCAGCATTAAGTACATAATTAGCCAACTCACCGCCCGTCGCTTTATCGTTTACTTTAGTCATTATCACTTTTAGAACCAGTATCGACTAAATATTATTCGTTAAAATGATCACCTGAAGTACAAATCATACGATGACTGCCAATTTGTATTAGGCGCAATTTTTCTGCAACAAAAATATTACTAATCGCCTTTAAAATAGATTTTCCATATATGTACGCCAATATTAAAGGAAAAAACTCTAGTGATTGACTTAGGAGCCTTTTTTGTTCTTTCGATTAATTTCTTATTGAGATTCATTTGGACTGTTCCATTGTGCGGAAATTTGAGTTTCGGGGATACCAAATGTTTGTGTGGAAATTGCATCCAGTGAATGAGGTCGCTATATTTTTAATCGTGTTTTGAAAAGTCTATTTTCTCGGTTTAAGACTTGAGACAACTTGTAAGGGGTTTTAGAAGTTAATAGTTTAATCGCGAATATTGAAATCATATAATATAAAAATTTTAAATTATTCAGTACCCAGTGCCCAGTGTTGCAAGGTGGCCACTGAGAAATAGTAGCAACAGCAATTAGACGCATGCTGAAAGACTGGCCACAGCTGGGCAGATCACAACACTAGCAACGCCAATTCCCGCTGCGTCGCCGCTCTCAGCGACTTCGGCAAATGCAAGCACGAACGCGTGTTTATAAAACAGCGAGGCAGACTGCAGAAACGGTTGTTTGATGCCGAACGCGAACGCGGAGGTTTGAACAGCTGACCACAGACCTGCAGCGATCGAAAGGTTTACAGTGCTTTATTGTCCGTTTCACAGTGCAATTCGAACAGCAAACTATTGAAACAAAGTTAAAGTGATGTAAAGTGTGTGTAAAGTGGAACTTATGCAAGCAACATAGTGCGAGGAGTTCTTAAATGAAACTGTCTCTTCGGGAATAAGAAAACAGTGTCATATTTACGTATCAATCATTTGCGCGCTAAAGTATAAACAAAAACGAAAAACAGTTGCAACTAACGATATTCGGTGACAAGCGATATTCGCCAAGACACAAACATAATTTACCACAGGTTGTCAATATTTGCAAGTTACTTGCAAGTGAAACCGTGAAACGGTAAATCGAAAATACAGTAAAACTAAGAAAGCACATAAAAGAACTGTGCGCACATACACACACATACATACTTGTATTGTAAGCAGCGCTTTGCATAAGCACAGCTTATGGACACAAAAGACTAAAGCAACGAACTCGGTTTACTGTGTGTTGCTGGTAGCAAACAGACTTACAAACTTAAACGCCACTTTGAAATCTTTATCGACAGCTCGACGCACAAAAGCCCAAAAGTGGGTGATGCCTTGAAAGAAGCGCTTTTGGCCGAAAAAGACATACAAAAACTATAAGGAACCAACAACAACACTGCGCAGCGATTTCCTTTTCCTTTGTAAGTAGAAAAAAACCAAAAAAAAAAAAATTTAATTACCGTTACAAGGCGAAGAAGCACCGCGTATATGCACACACATAACTAAGTGCAGATGTGAGGGCAAACGTGTGTATCGATTGAAGGTTAAGCCAAAGTAAAAAGAATTAGTTGCAGCCGTTATACTATGAGCCACAGCGTTAAGAAAAATATATGAAATATATGTTTGTATGTATGTATGATTCTGATTACAGATTTCACCAAAATTTACTAACAAACAGTCAAAGTCAATAAGTCAAAGTTGAGCTTGAGATTGCATGTAGCAACCTAGCGAAATTTTTTCAAACTTGCTTGCATTTTGCTCTTCCGCATTCACACCTCTTTGTCGATTTTGCAATAAAAATCTTGCGAAATTCGCTGCATCAAGCAACCAACTGCGAGTTCAATGAAGAAGTGCATGAAAAATTGTGTTTTTAGCACCCAGTCAAAATCTTATTTTACTTAGGCTAGTATTAATGAGCGATTTTTGAGAGTTTCTAAACTTACTGCAGACTTATTTGTGACGAGTCTACTGTGATTACTTTCTGGTCTTGCAAATACTGGCACTTTTACGTTGATTTTAGTATTTTTTAGTAAAAATTTTCAGAAGAACAATGCGAACTTAAATATAGAATTAATAAATATATATTAACTGAAGATTACAAGTTAATATATACTTATTAATTTTATACTTATGTTTACATTGTTTTTCCCTATTGCTATATTCCCTACATAATAAGACTTGCATCGATTACCGCTAAATCATATGTAATTTAATTATATATCAAGTATCTCCCTTCCGCTTCTTTAATCTTTATTCAGTGCTTTATAAAAAGTGTTACAGTGATCGGATTTAGTTCAAATATGCGCCCGTTTCGTTCGTTAATATGTTTTCATCTAGGCGGCAACTTCACAATGCCCCACTCGTAGAAGCCCCCTTCCTTATTTGCGGAGAACTCAGACAGCCACTTTTCACTACCCTCTTTTGAGTTCAACTTTACACCAACAAGGGCGTTCGCCAGGGACAAGAACAGGTGGAAACCCGAGTCCCATCCGAGCTCCCGTAGCTTCTGATGAGTCGTCAACGAAGTGTATGGTCTGGCGTTGTCCTCGTGAAACAGTACACCCTTCCTGTTGGCAAATTCTCGACGCTTCTGATCGATCGCCTGTTTCAAGCGGTCCAGTTGTTCTCAGTAGATGGTAGAATTAAGCGTCTGGACATAAGGGAGCAGCTAATAGCGGATGATCCCCTTCCAATCCCACCAAACACACAGCAAAACCTTCCTGACTGTCAATCCCGGCTTGGCTACTATTTGGGACGATTCACCGGGGTCAATTTCATTCCGTTTCAGCAACATATCGCAGAGTTTTTTGCGTCAAATTATGGGGCACCCAAACATCAATCAATTTGTGTATCCAGCTTCTGCAGATGGTTTAAAATGGTTTGGTGACTAACTCCCATCTTCTGGGCGATGTCACGAGATGCCACATGTCGGTCTAACTCGATGTTTTCCATGATTTGATCGGTACTTGTCGTCACAGCTCATCGTTTTCTGCAGCTCTGAATCGTCGAAATCATTCCTCCGACGTTCGAAGTGATAGAGTACTATCGCCCAAAACACCAGTAATCTCACGGAATGTGTCGCCAGCAGATTTTCCCTTAACGAAGGAAAATTTAAAAAAAGCGTAAATTTCGCCATTATTGAACTCCATGTTCCTAAATATACAAAGCTTTGCACTAAACCGAACGAATTTTAATTTTACAGTACATCGAAAACATCGTATGTATTTTGCTTATAGCGTTATTGAGCGCCATCTGTTTTTTCCTTGCGCTAATTTGACATCCTTACCGTTTTGGTTTTATAAAAACTGTTTTAACTGTTTATTGTAAATAAAAAATATAAAGCTAACTCTCAATACTTTATCTTCTGATTAAAAAATTTTTGGTGAAAAATCGTAATATATTTAAAGACCACACAAAATGAAAATTATATACTAAATCCATTTCTAGGTTGCTTACGTTTTTAGAAAAAACCACAGAAACTTCAAACTTATTATCATTCGAAAGAGCATGTCATCTATTTTTTGAAGATTATCTCTTTCAAATGTTGTCCGCGGTCTGAGATGTTCCATCCGTTGAGTCCAATTTTCGATGACTCGTTCGAGCATTTCGACTGGTAACAGTACACGCGAGATGTTTTGCTCCAAGGCGTGATCGAATCGGGATTGTCCGCGTATTCTGCAGACTTTGCATATCTCCAGAGGAAAATGTCTAACTGTATGATATCACATGATCTTGCTGGCCAATCGAACGGTGCAAAAGTGAAACTATCTGCTCATCGAAGTGTTCCATATACATATACATACATTTCCATTTAATATCAATGCATCACTAACTTGATGCTCCCAAAAAGAGGCCACTTCAAATATTTACAAGCTTTTTAAAATTGAGAAGTCTATTTTGTACACGCAGTAGACTCCCAATCGGTGAAACAAATATTTACTACAGATCGTAGTTAGACTCGCAGCCCCCACAATATTTCAAATCAATTTTTCTACTTCTTCTAGGCAACCATTTAAGTAAACAAAGTAAAAGCTTTTGAAAAACCTTTCTTCGCAATTCAAGGAATAAATCATAAATATAATTAACAAGTGAGATAATATTTGATTGCACACTAAGTATTGTGTGTGCTTGAGTACATGCTTTGAACAAATGTCAGAATTTGACACACTCAATGCACTATCGTATTATGGCTATGTATGCTTGCAGCAATTAGTTGCAAGAATGTGTTAATGTGTGTGCATAAATCGTGCATTCAATGAACTAGAGCTTAGGTGAGTCGAGGACTTAGACACTAAACTGAGACTAAGAGTTATGCAACTAGCAAAGCGCATGTATGTGCCGCCATATATATAAGCGTATATATATATAGTTAAGTATTTACATATGTACATTTCAAACTAAGCATGTACATAAGCTGGAGTTGCACACAATTAATGGCACAAAAGCACGCGTCTATCTCTAATAATGGGTGATCCCAGTATCGGTACTGTTTTCAATAGCTTTTCGTTTTATGATAGATCACGCGTGGGACGTGTTAAGTTGACATGTTAGTTTTCTTCAGTTTGCCATCCCATCGTGGAAAGATTTATGCCTGAACAACGTTTACAAATCGTTCAACTTTATTACGAAAAAGTCACGTACTGTAAAGATCGTCAACATAATCGGCTGACTGAGCGTACTATTCGCAAAAACATCACCCATATTGAGACTCAGCAATCATTATTGGATAATATTCGACCGAATAGACCACAGTAAGCACGAAGTGAAAAAAATATAGCAGTCGTAGCTGAGAGTTTAGACGAAGACCAAGCCGAGTAGATTCGACGGTGTTGGAAGCAACTTGGACTGGCGTATGGAACGTCTTGGCGCATTTTATGTCGACATCTTAAAGAGAAACTGCACAGCTTGTGCAAGAACTGAAACCGCCCGACCTTTCCAAGTAACATCGCTTCGCTCTATGGGCTTTTTAAGTACAGAACCTTAATATGGTTCACCCTATATAAGAGTCATGTAGTTTGCACCACATGTGGCACGATTGAACTTAGCGAACAATGAAGTTGCACATTAGAGCGCTTAATAAAATCATTAAAAAGAAATCAAAACATTTTGGTTTATTCAAAGTGAATATAAAACTAAACAACGACTTCAAAAAAAAAATCCAGGATTATTTGTGTATTAGTGATGAGCTTGGGCACTCGTGGCGCAAGCGTGGAAAATCATGAATTATGCAATAAAGATAATAATGTGGAGCAGAGCGTGAAATGTAGCTATTGAGCAGCGGATCCGCTTTTAATTGTTCATTCAAACATCATCAAACGCTGTCTGAGCATGATATGTGTCAAACATATTATTAGGGCGGAGCTAATTATTTATTGCATACAAATTGGAGAAATTATGGTGTCTATATGAGCAAAACAAAGTCATATAAATATTAGAAAAAAAAAAATATTTACTATTTTTGAACCATGAAATGTTACGCTCTTATGCTCTAATCATCATTTTTACATAAAATAAAAATTTCTATAGTACCAAAATATTTTTTATGCGTTTGAAAACAAACAACATACAAATTGAGCCGCACTAATAATGAAATGTACACCGTATTTATATTTGAAAGTCTATAATATATATAAATGCGTTTACATTTCTATATTCGACAAACTTGAAATATGCGTTCAGGCAACACTCTACAACTGCCGGCCGTTTTATAATTCTGCGTTCAAACAATAGCTCAATAATAAAAGACTCATCAGGGCAACCTCAATTTCGCCAAATAAAAATCAATGGCTCCAACGCCAGCCAAAGATGATTTTGAACGGAGATCGCCCAAAGCATAATAAGCTTCAAGCACAAAATAAAAGTCCCATCTACAATGAGTCAGAGAAAATATAATAATAACAAAAGGCGAATCGCAAATATAACGCCATTACGACCATAAGCGCTTCAAATGCGACCAACTCATTGCAATGAGTTGACGAAATAATTACCGTTGAATGGATCGTTCCAAAAACGCACGCCTTGCTGACATACCATTTTTTTGAATTTACCCAATTCTGCTTATGCACTTTTATTTGTGAATTTCTCTTGCAGATTTCGGTTTAGTAAAGTTTGGCACACAAGTTTTTTAACTGACAATTTCTACGAAACAAAAATGTTAACCGTTAAATGTTAAATGTTAAAAATTCCTTATTTAGTTTAATTATTTTCGAATACAATCTTTATGAAAATTTAGTCAATTAACTAATTCGTATACAATTACTAAAATTAATTTCCATGTAAACAGTAAATTTCAACTCACAAAAAACTTTAAGTTTCCATTTTTCAAGTCATCAAGGTATTGAGTGATTACTTGTCTACTACAGAAATTTACCCAAAACAATGAAAAAAACAAGAAAAAACGTTAACTTCAGTTGCACCGAAGCTAAATACCCTTAACAGGTGCATTTATGTTAGTAACTACATATTTGTTCAATTTGTATGTAAGCTATATGCTATAGTAATCCGATCTGAACAATTTTTTCGGATATTATATTGTTACCTTAAGCAGTAACCCATGCCAAATTTCGTGAATATATCTTGTCAAATGTGAAAGTTTTCCAAATAAAACTTGATTCCGATCGTTCGCTTTGTATGACAGATATATGCTATAGTTAACCGATCGCAACAATTTGAATTTGATTTCGAAGATTACATTGTTGCCTTAGGAAATTATCTATACCAAATTTCGTTAATATATCTTGTCAAATGTGAAAGCTTGCCATACAAGAACTTGATTCCGATCATTCAGTTTATATGGCAGCTATATGTTATAGTGGTCTGATATCAGCAGTTTCGACAAATGCGCAGCTTCATGAAGAGAAAATGACATATACAAAATATCAAAACGATGTCTTAAAAACTGTGCGACCAGTTCGTATAAACACAGACAGACAGACGGACAGACGGGCATGACTAAATCGACTCAGTTCAACATATTGATTATTTATACATATACTTTATAGGGTTTCCGACGCTTCCTTCTGGGTGTTACAAACTTCGTGACAAACTTAATATACCCTGTTCAGGGTATAAATATAGTCTTTGTATACACATCACACCCAGCAAAGTTCGCCAGTATTAACTGGTCGTTGCCCATACGGTGTCCACCCGATAAGGTTCAAAATCGTATACGATGACAGCTGTGGAAGTTTTTTGAAAGCAAACAAGGTGTAATTACTACCTTCTCTTTGAATATCCTGCCTTTATGTGGTGAATGATCTCACTTTCAGATATACATATATTGGTGGATAAGGGAATAAAGCGCTAAAACGCTTTAGCAGATTTTTGACGGTTTCAAGGCACCGTTTCGATGGACGAGGTCCAACTTCGGAGCTTTTTGTAATCTAAATGAATCGTTTTATCAACGACTACAATAAATGTCAATATTTATACAAATTTGCATTTTAATTAACCATAATATCGCCGAATCAGAAACGGTTTAAGTGAGCACGCTTATGACTTCTCGATTTCTCTAGTCAACATTAATCTTAATATAATTTTATATGTAGAACAGTCAACAATTGTGTCACAAAAATATTTTGTATGTATTCAAATTGACGTCAATAAATATGAGTAAGCGAAATTGCAAAAGAATGAATGAGTTCAAGTCTAAACAATGGTCTGCTTTGATTTCTAAAAGAACGTGTATTTCTTTTGCCCCAAAGACATCATTAGCTTTGTTTCTTTTATTGCTTTTCGTATTCTGCTTTGTGATTTTTTTTAATTAACGAAGCGACATTATTTATGTTCTTTCATCGCTGAAATGGTCTATGCTTTCTTCTAACAAGTATTTTTGATGTCAACAACACATGTTTTGTTAATGAAATTAAACTGAAGAAAGTTTTTAAAGTTCTTCGAAATAGTTTTTTTGTCTATCAAGAGAGCGAAATTTCCCCAAAAGCGTGCTTTTCTACATCATGTCACTTGTATTAATACTAATTTGCCATTCATTTTTTGTTGACTTTATTTTGTTTGTAAATAATAAATATGTGAAATCATAAAACTCTGGAGCTGGTTACTTGCTGTGAAAACTTTTCTTAGCATAAAAGGCTTAAGCATATATACGTATTCTAATGTCATAAACAAGTGCATGCGGACAAAAGACGAAGGTTTTTGTAGCGAATGCTTAACTTTTTGAAATCGAACTTAAAAACTGTTTTCAATAATAAAGTGCAATAGGAGAGTTATACGAATTGTGGTGTCAAAATGCCCCAGTGTCAAAATTTCCTCAGCGCTTCTTATTCTAATTGTATAAATAAACCTAAGTATAATAAGTCTGCGATTTTTATACCATGAATGGAGTATATTAAGTTCGTCACGAAGTTTTTAACACCCAGATGGAAACGTCGGAGACCCTATAAAATATAAATGAACGGAATGACGAGCTGAGTCGAACGTCTGAACGATCAGAATAAAGTGCTTCTAAATGGTGCTCTATTTCGAGCTTCCCAACTTTTTTTAAGAAAAAATAAAGAAACAAATTTAATAGATAATGTTTATTGTCATTCGAATAAACACTCTTTGGCAATAAGTCCCACGGTGTGGTATCACACTTATCTGCTCATCGAAATGCTTTTTTAAGTAAATTCATTGATTAATGCGATGTGTGCGAAGTGGCGCTTTCTTGTTAAAACCAAATGTCGCCGAGATTACGAACTTCAATTTCAGGCATCAAATAGTAGGATATCATGGCGCGATAACGTTCACCATTGACAGTTACGTTCTTACCGGCATCGTTTTTAAAAAAATATGGACCGATGATTCCACCGGCCCACAAACCACACCAAACTGTTTTTTTTTTCTGGATGAAATAGCAGCTCTTGAATCTATTCTGGTTGCTCTTCGTTCCAAATGTGGCAATTCTGCTTATTACATACCAATTAAGCCAGAAACGAGACTCAACGTTAAAAAAAGACTTCAGTTCTAGCACAAGCTGTATTTTTTACGCTTTCAATTTAAGACCTCGACGTAAAATCGACGATCTTAGGGTACACTCTCAGCTACGGCTGCAATATTTTTCCTTCATAACGTGCTGAACGTGGTCTAACCGGTCGAATCTTATCCTATCTCAAGATGGGTGATGATGCTGCGAATAGTCTGCTCAGCAGGCCCACATATAATGTTGACCATAAGTTGAGCGAGGCGTTCTTTACAGAACGTGACTTTTCGTAATAAAGTTGAACAATTTGTAAACGTTGCTCAGGCATAAGTTTTTCCATAACAAAATGCAAAGCAATACTGAGTGATTAGTGGGATAAGAAAGAAGAATTCTGTGAAGGGTTATTATTGAAAGCAATGGTGCTGTGACTATAGCATTTAGCTGCCTTGTAAACTGATCGATCGGAGTGTATGGAAATTTGTTTCATTTAAAGAGATATCTTCATAAAACTTCGCATGGGTAGTTGTCCAAAGCAACGTGGCATTCTTCGAAGTATCGGTACATATCGCTCAAAATTAAGTTTTTTTAGGAATTTTTTGTATTTGTTGCTACCGAGGCTAACGATTTTTCTTGTCTCAAACAAGAGATTTTCCATTGTATGCGAAAAAAGTTTTATATTCTCTTATTGTACGTACTTCCATCTCATTGGTAATGAATTGTTGCTGGAAAAAAGATATAACGCAGAAACATTAAATAAAATCTTCAACAACCAATCCCATTTTCCTTAATTACTTAACAATAAAATATATTAAAACTATTAGTTGTTAAAAGTTAAATTTTCTTTTGAAGCAATTATAATCTTTATGAGAATAGAAGCTTCCTCAAATCATAAATAACCTGAGTTGCTTTATCTGGGCCCAGTCAAGTCTAAAGTGTTTCACTTATCTTTATAGTAAATTAAGCAAACAACCTTTTTCGAACATCGCTTTAGTTTATTTATGTAAATTGGCTTGTAAAATCTCCAAGTTCATTAAAAATTTCTTAAAATATAACAAAATAGCTTTTTTTTTTATTTGAGATAACAACTTTAACGAATTTGTTCATAAGAACTTTAATAACTTTGTTGGTAACAATTTTCATAACTTTGTTGGTAACAACTTTGTTGCAATTGTCGGCAGAATTCATTACGTTATCACTACAACCTTTACTACTTGTGTTTGGCTAATATCCGGTAACTTTTTGGTAGGCATTTTTTACATTACGAAACATGAAGTTAAAAATGGCTAAGTTGATAACACAGCTCATTTTGCTTTTTAAATCTAGTACCTTTTACTAATTATTTTTTGCTGTAAAAATAATTTATATATGTATGAGCACGTAGGTTATTACAAATGTAATCTTTTTTAATAAGGTTTAACGAAGTAATTAAAAGTCGTGCGATGAAATTCATTTTTAATCATGTTCTTCCAGATTTGGGTATTTACGTTTTATGTGCTGTCACGTTTTTTTACTTTTAACCATTTCCGTAACTTCAAATACAAAGTTATAAAATCTATAAAAACGCCAAATCATTACACAAGCAACTATCGCTCGAAATTCCCGTGACTCAGTGAAGAACAGAATGTCAATTGCATCTAAAGGTAAAGTAAACTCTTTTTGAAAAAATAATAATAATTGATGACACCGGTATTTATCTATACACATAAATTACATATGACATTATTCATACTTGCATTATATCTTTTTAATGAACATTACGGTTCACATCATTAGTTGCATGTACTTTCATCATTATAGCCCTTAAAAAGTTAAATTCGTTATTCGAATGCTACATTTAGCTATGTTAAGGGGAAATACTTTTCGTTTGTAAAGGAATCGATTTATAGTAATATATAATATATTGGTTTTATATTTTCCAACTTTGCAATAGCGTTTTTTTTTTTTTTTTTGTTGACACCATTTCCCTTTCCGCACAATGTTCTTTTATCTATTACGTACTAACGTACTCTTGGCGTTTCATAAAAAGCTGCTGGCGTCAATATTTACCAACCAAACTCCTTTATATCCGTGTTTTCTACGCTACATGTATAATATTACTGTAAGCAAAAATTAGTAAGACCATGTCCAGGACAGCTACCAACATCAACTGATGGTCAACGCATCAATAAAAGAAGGAAAGAGTAAAGTTCTTACCGGCATCGTTAGAATATCGGAACGACCACTGTCAAAAAAAAAATCATTTTGAAAGATCATTTAGGCTTAAGAAAAGTGAAAGCACGATTGCATTGTTAGCGTCTGTGAAGCAATACCAGGATAACATGAAACGTATTATTGCTGACGATGAATATTGGATCTATGCTTAAGATCCGGAAACATACTATCAATCAAATGTTAGTTGCAAAGTTGAGCCGCAGCCGAAAAACCACATCAAAAATCAAGGCTACTTTGATAGTTTTCTTCGAATATTGTTGTATTGTGCTCTCCGAACTAGCTTCGATCGGCAAAACCGTCAACAATTAATACTATTTGACTATTATGCGTCTTTTGCACAAAGCTACTCCTGAAAAGAGACCTACAAGTCTTGGCGTTTGCACTGCAATAATGTACTGTCGCATACTGTTTTGGTTCTTCGTGAGTTTTTTACCAAGTGTCCGCCTGATTTAGCTATGTGTTACTCTTGACTATTCATTAAACTCAAACGACCGCTCTGGAGAAACCGTTTCGAGTCAATTGAAGGCATTAAAGGTGAAATGCTAAGTGCATTGAAGGCTATTCCGGAAGTTGACTTGAACAACGGTATCGAAGATTGGAAAAAACGTTGGCCAAAAAGTTATGGGGGCCAACTTGATTTTGAATGCTAAATTAAGAATTTAAAATTATGAACAAACTATTATTTTCTCTGGTTTTGCTAAAAAAATTGATGTAAACGGACATGCATATGTACTATAAGCTTTGTTGATGAGAACATATTTATTGATAGTATTTCTAGTCACAAAATTTAGATTTCCTTGAGAGAAGAAATATATTTCAATGCCTTCTGATTGTTAGTAGTAGATAGTGTTGGTGTTGTTGTAGTGTACCGAGTTGACAGTCCTTGGCCGGATAAAAGTCCAGGTCCGTTCCGATTACATAGACCCGACTGTCATTGGAACGAATTAGAGGTTGGTTTTGTGGAGCAATGACTATGAAGTCAATGCCAAAAACTAATGCAGGTACCTTTACACGTAAACAATTATTTATTTATATTTATAAAAAATTTATAAAATATTTTCTTAAAAACTTTTAATAATGGTCTGTTCGTTCATATGAAAATACTTCATAGGAATCGGTGTATGAGTTGAAAAATAGATAATAGGTTTTAAATGAGCTCTTTGACCTCAGGAACCACTCGACCGTTTTCAGCTAAATTTAGTGCACAATATTATGCTAGCATGCTTATCGTATCGAAGATATAGGGAATAAAACTTCATAGATTTTGTTAAAGAAGAATAATTTAAAGCTTTCATATCCTGAACAGGATATAAGAGTATTAAATTTTCAGGAAGTTTGAAGTACTCAGAGAGAAACGTCGAAAATTCTAAAAAATGTATTTGCAAATAATCCATGACGAACTGAGTCCGTTTGCCTGTCTGTCCGTCTTTATGTATGGAAGCAAGTCTCTAGTTTTTGAGATATTGAACTGAAATTGTGCAAAAGTCCTTTTCTCTTTTAGAAGCTGCTCATTTGTCGAAAATACGGTGTGAGATCTTAATTACAGATCAACCAAATAAATGTGATTGTAACAGTTAATATGTTATCAGCATAAGTCGATATTAGCAACTAAGCTTATTCTTGGTTAAGAATATTGAGAGAAGTCAACAATGCGTCTGGCCTTATAATATGTATGCCACTGGAACATAGCTTAGCTCGATTTCATTTGAAAGACTTAAATGAACAACTTGTCTTACAACAGTCTTCATTTCCTCTCAAAAATGTAGTCAGATTCAACGTACCTGATTTAATTCAAATTTACGTAACTAAATACCTAAATAACAAAAATCATCCCAGATTGCAAATGTAGCATCTGCAGCGAATAGCTTACGCTTTGAGTGGCTGGGAAACGAAAAGACAGCCACCAACTATTTCTGCCGGTTTCATACATTTATTTCTCAATTTAAATTTTCTATAATTTGCATAGGAATTGCCGATTGGAAGGTCCAATCTCAGTTATGTATGCAGTTAAAGGTCAAGAAGGGCAAATTCAAATGCAAATTAGGTTTACTCATCGCAACGATTCACTATGTGGAAACACAAAAAACACGATTTCTTCAAAACTCCTACAAAAACTGCCGAGTCGTGCTCTGGCAGGTTGCAAAAATGGCGAAATGCATTAAATTGACGGAAGTGTAACTGTAAGTAAGCGCAACTGTTGCCTTAGGTTTTTAGTGGAGGCGACAATTTGATAATTGCAATAATTTTCGCGTAATTTTCACTTCAAGTTGGCGGCAAAGAAATTTTGCACAATTTCTTGCCAATATAATGGCAACTTATGGCAGTCATGCAAATATCTGATGATATATTAAAGTGGTCACGATATTTAAATTAAAGTGAGCTGGAAAAATGTGAGGGCAACGGAAAAAGGCAAATGAAGAGAATTTGTATCTTCTATGTTGGAAACTCTTGTCCAACAGTTGCAGCGGAAATATATTTTCAAGATTCTCCAAACAGAAGAGGTAACGTCTGCTAAATTTCTGCCATAGAAAGGAGCCCCTACTATGGTGCGCAGAACTTAGTTTGAAAAGTTTGAATTACTTTTAAATTTGAATTTGGTGAAATACCCTAGATTCGAATCGCATACTTTTTATTTGCCAATGCGTTGATCTCCTCCTGCAGCATTTATTTCAGAAATCGGAAATTTGTGAAGCAACATCCAAACAATTGCTGACTGTCCCATTGTCCTAGATTCATCACTAAGCTCGTTAGAAGTAAACGTGTTTTGGAGGTGTGCGGCAAACACTTCGGCTTTCTCTGCATTGGTCCTGCATCAATAGGCTCTACTGTTTAAAATTGATGGGCATCTAGAAATCGGCTTATTGTTTTGTCAAGTCGCATTCCAAAGATTGTTTACTAGATCTCCTGGTTTGGCAGCAACCATAAACGCCTCTAGGTACTTGTTTCGCAATTTACAGAGAGCATGCTTCAGCTGCTTTGTGGCACGATTGAAAAGTGTTTAGGACTTGCCATACATTCCGAAGATGTCTCTTCTCTCTGAGCTTCGTCATTACCTCATTGGACCAGAGATGTCTGTCTCGCTTTGTACATATGTATATAAATTGTATAATTTCGCTCATCACTCCAAATTTAGTACAATTTCGAAAAATTAATATGAATTCTGCTTGCTATCGCCTGTGTGTAACGGCTTCTATTTTCGCCTACGTTCACGTCGAAACTCAAAAGGATTCACGTTTCAGGTTTCCATTTGCGGTATTGGGAGAATGTGTGAAAAAATTTTACGTAACAACAACAATAAGAACCAGATAATTTTAGTCCGATAATTTAATTTTACCTTCTTTGAACGATTTTTCAACGACATGAGAGTGATGCACTATACATAGCAGAAGCAGGAGTGTTTACAATTCGGCTTATAAGGACAATATATTTGCTGGCTTGTTCACCATAATCGTTCACTAAAAATGTGACTATCCAAAGTGGGCAAGAGACGTGAAACAATACTTCGTTGTGCATTTATTTGATGTACGCTCGGCATTTGCCGTTAAGTTTGTGCGCAGCCGCCTTGTAACAAGTTGCGTGTTCGCTACCAAAATGAAGATTATAGAAATTACTTTTAATTTAATTTTACTCTTGAGAATTATCTTGCTTGTGCTAAGTATTGAGTAGACGTATAACCGCTTTTCTATCTTTTAAGACTTCGCAAAACTTTTCCTACATATTTTTGACTGCCACAAACATTTATTTATTTATATTTGCAGTTGTCAAAGGTGCAAATTGAGCGCTTTGTTGAGTCTTCCTGCGCCAATACTGACATTATCAAATTTTTAAATATTTAACTGAATGTTCCTCTTACTCTGTTGCAAAAGCCACTTGTACGATATGTCCATATGCATATCCAACAACATATTGTATTTCGTGGTTACATGTTGTATATCTCTTCCACATGGTCTTCTGCCGTTCACTTGACATTTGCAAAACTCAAAAGTGTTGTAAAAAAAACTAAAATCATAACGTTCAATTCAAAAATAAACTAAGTTCTCTACCAACACTTACCGATACATGCAAGCGCACACAATAAATGCACAAAACAAAAAAGAATAGGCATCAAAATTGGCAATAAGAAAATATTTTTGAAACCGAAAACCTCAGAGTTGTTTGCCTCGTCGCTTAGTTTAACCGCATATTTTTCGCTCGCTAGCTAACGACTTCTTCAGTCTATTTCATTTTGCTTCATTTTACTCATTTGCGGCTTGTGGTACATTTCATCGTGGTATGAAGTCGCTCACATTGCTTCTTCTGAGAAAAAAGCTGCAATGAAAAATAGTTTGGCAATTTCGATTGTTGAACAATCAGAAGATTCGTCAGGTCGATCAGTTGTTGTGGATTGTTGCATAGCTTACGAAATGTTGTGGTAAAAATGCACAGAAAT